AGAATTGTTACTCAGGGACACAGAATTGTTACTCAGGGACACAGAATTGTTACTCAGGGACACAGAATTGTTACTCAGGGACACAGATCGTTACTGAGGGACACAGAATTGTTACTCAGGGACACAGAATTGTTACTCAGGGACACAGAATCGTTGAATTAAAGAGTATGTCAGACAACACGCAGAGGAGTGGCAGAGGAGGCAATGTTTCAGGAGCGAGCAGACGTGGCAGCAGAGGAAGGGGTCGAGGCAGCACTAGTCGCAGCCAGAGGCCAGTGCTCCCGGTGTCATCCAGCGGTCGTGTCTCCACCGACAACCCTGCCATCATCGATTGGTTGGCTCGGTCGTCTTCCTCTTCCCAGGTCACCTCTGACACCTACAGCCAACGGTCGGTGGGTACATCAGACACAACCGTTAGTTGGCATGGCCCGGGGCAAGCCCACTGAAATCACGTGTCCTCTACCTGCCCCTGTCCTTTGGTGTTTCCTCACCAAGCGAAGTATCGCATGCTGTGGGCTCAGCCCCACTGTACAGTGAGGAAGAGCTAACAGAGGGCGGTCAGGAATGGGGGGAGACATCCGCCTCTTCAGCAGCCAGGCGAAGAAGTAGTGGCGAGGAGAGTGGCTCGGTAGCCGGTCTAGAGACAGGTCTGTCTCCTGACCCACACGCAGCCGAGGGGGCTAGTAGTGAGGCGGAGACCCTAATTGATGATGATGAGGCTGATCGCACTTGGCAGCCTCGTCGTCATCTGCCAGGCCCATAATCTGCCATGGGGCCCCCCGTACCGCCTCCTCATGCTGCTGCCAGGTCCAGAGTGTCTCATGGGTCCCTGTACGGCCTCCCATTGCTGCTGTCTCCATCGCCACACTCTGCCATGTGCCACTTTCAGGTCTCCTCACACTGCTGGTGGGTTCCATTTTGTCATAGGGTGCTGGCAGATTACGGGCCTCCCATTGCCATGCTGCCAGGCCCGTAATCTGTCATGGGCCCACCGTATCCTCTATGCTGCTGCCCCCGTCCACTAATGGGTCCCTGACTCCCATCATGTCTCCATCGCCACACTCTGCCATGTGCCACTTTCAGGTCTCCTCACACTGCTGGTGGGTTCATTTTGTCATAGGGTGCTGGCCCCTCCCATTGTGCCAGCCCGTAATCTGTCATGGGCCCCCGTACCGCTCCTCATGCTGCTGCCAGGCCCGTAATCTGTCATGGGCCCCTGTACCGCCTCTAATGCTGCTGCCAGGTCCAGAGTGTCTCATGGGTCCCTGTACGGCCTCCCATTGCTGCTGTCTCCATCGCCACACTCTGCCATGTGCCACTTTCAGGTCTCCTCACACTGCTGGTGGGTTCCATTTTGTCATAGGGTGCTGGCAGATTACGGGCCTCCCATTGCTGCTGCCAGGCCCGTAATCTGCATGGGCCCCCCGACTTCCTCATGTACCCGACTCCGCCTCCTCATGCTGCTGCCAGGCCCGTAATCTGTCATGGGCCCCTGTACCGCCTTTTGTCCTCATGCTGCTGCCAGGTCCAGAGTGTCCTCATGGGTCCCTGTACGGCCTCCCATTGCTGCTGTCTCCATCGCCACACTCTGCCATGTGCCACTTTCAGGTCTCCTCACACTGCTGGTGGGTTCCATTTTGTCACGGCTGGGGTTTCCAGGGTGCTGGCAGATAGGGCCTCCCATTGCTGGCAGATTAATCTGTCATGGGCCCCTGGCCTCCTCATTGCTGCTGCCAGAGCCCCCTGTACGGCTGCCATTGCTGGGCCCCGTACCACTTTCAGACACTGCTGGTGGGTTCATTTTGTCATAGGGTGCTGCCTCCCATTGCTGCTGCCAGGCCCGTAATCTGTCATGGGCCCCTGTACCGCCTCCTCATGCTGCTGCCAGGTCCTGAGTGTGTCATGGTCCCTGTACGGCCTCCCATTGCTGCTGCTCCATCGCCACACTCTGCCATGTGCCACTTTCAGGTCCCTCACACTGCTGTGGGGTTCCATTTTGTCATAGGGTCCAGATTACGGGCCTCCCATTGCTGCTGCCAGGCCCGTAATCTGGGGCCCCTCCGACGCCATCATGCTGCTGCCAGGCCCGTAATCTGTCATGGGCCCCTGTACCCAGCCTCCCATTGCTGCTGTCTCCATCGCCACACTCTGCCATGTGCCACTTTCAGGTCTCCTCACACTGCTGGTGGTTCCATTTTGTCATAGGGTGCTGGCAGATTACGGGCCTCCCATTGCTGCTGCCAGGCCCGTAATCTGTCATGGGCCCCTGTACCCGCCTCCTCATGCTGCTGCCAGGCCCGTAATCTGTCATGGGTCCCTGTACGGCCTCCCATTGCTGCTGTCTCCATCACCACACTCTGCCATGTGCCACTTTCAGGTCTCCTCACACTGCTGGTGGGTTCCATTTTGTCATAGGGTGCTGGCAGATTACGGGCCTCCCATTGCTGCTGCCAGGACCGTAATCTGTCATGGGCCCCTGTACCGCCTCCTACATGCTGCTGCCAGGCCCGTAATCTGTCATGCCCCTGTACCCACATGCCTCCTCATGCTGCTGCCAGGTCCAGAGTGTGTCATGGGTCCCTGTACGGCCTCCCATTGCTGCTGTCTCCATCGCCACACTCTGCCATGTGCCACTTTCAGGTCTCCTCACACTGCTGGTGGGTTCCATTTTTTTGTCATAGGGTGCTGTATGGCCTCCCATTGCTGCTGCCTCCACCGCCACACTGTGGCTCCACACTCTGGTTTTGGCCCCGTGACTGCCCAAATGAGTGAAGTGTGCGGTGATTCTAAGATCGATGGCACTCATCTGCATGTCATACTGACTGACAGTATTATTTCTCTTCCCCAGCAGACTCCAAGGGCATTTAAATTAAAGGTACAGTGTTCTGCACTAATATAAAGGCTTTCTGAAGCCTAGAAACACCCTTTTTATAAGTTAAATTCGCAGCGAATATATTCGACTCGAATCGAATTTATTCCGCGAATTCGCCGAATCAGCCGAATCGAATTTTTGAATACTTCGCTCATCTCTATATATCACCACTAGTCTGATTGAATTCACAATCCCTGGTCAGTCCCGTTCCCTTACCTCTAATAATCTTTAGGGCCAGTTCACACTACATGTGTTTCAGTTGCTTTTTCAGCATCACAAACGCACAGAAAGAAGGTTATATGGTTGTCAATATCATATTTCACATCTGCGCTTGCATTTTCAGTGCATTGCAGGTGCTGTAAACAAAGTTGACCACGCTGCATTGTTTCTGCACAGAACTGTACTGGAAACGTTCTTGAATGTACTAAAACGCACATGTCCCTAATTAAATTGAATAAAAAGAAAGTAGAAAAAACTAACTGGAAGGGATACAAAAATGCAATGCAACATGTCCAAAACGCATCCAAAATGTACTGGAACACACTAAACATGCATGCGAAAAGGGCATGCAAAAAACGCATCAGGAACACATCTAGACTGTTTCTATAGTGTGAACTGGCCCTTAGGACTTGTTCACACCATTGGTGGTGCAGAAACGCATGCATCCAGCACAGCAAAGAAATGCAATGCCCTTTGCAGATGTGCGCGGTTAGGTGCAACACACTTTTAAAATAATATGCCTGCAGTATTTTTGCATGTTCCCACACATTAGCCAGCCCATTGAAATTAACGAGCTGAGGAAAAAAAAAAAGTAAAAAATGCCCCATTCACACAGGTCCTCTGGCCTGTACAGCATGAATGAGTGGGTTGTTTATGTGGCTAGAGCCACCTGTTACACTATGGGGACACAGCAGCTGTATGAACACAGGTTTTAATCTGACAGGTGTGAAGGCATGGGGAAGTGGCCCTGAATGCTCACTGCCTGTGTTCAGGGCTGTACACCTGCACCCATATGCTTGTCAAATTATGACCTGCAGCAATTCCATAGTGTAACATAGGTTGCCTGCAAACGGCGATAGCCACAAAAACAAACCACTGATTCCCACTCTACAGGCCACAGCACCCATGAGCCCCAAAACCTCAATTACACACACAGCTTTATTTATGAATAGAGATGAGCGAAGTATTCAAAAATTTGATTCGACTGATTCGGCGAATTCGTGGACAATATTCGATTCGAGTCGAATATATTCGCTGTGAATTTAACTTAAAAAAGGGTGTTTCTAGGCTTCAGAGAGACTTAATATTAGTGCAGAACACTGTACCTTTAATTTAAATGCCCTTGGAGTCTGCTGGGGAAGAGAAATAATACTGTCAGTCAGTATGACATGCAGATGAGTGCCGTCGATCTTAGAATCACCGCACACTTCACTCATTTGGCCAGTCACGGGGCCAAAACCAGTGTTTGGAGCCACAGTGTGGCGGTGGAGGCAGCAGCAATGGGAGGCCATACAGCAACCTATGACAAAATGGAAACCAGCAGGAGTGTGAGAAGACCTCAAAGTGGCACATGGCAGAGTGGGAGCAATGGGAGGCGGTACAGGGACCCATGTCACACTGTGGACCCAGCAGCAGCGTGACCAGGCGGTACGGGGGCCCATGGCAGATTTGGGGACTGGCAGCACCTATGGGAGGCCTGTAATCTGCCAGCAACCTATGACAAAATGGAAAACAGCAGGAGTGTGAGGAGACCTCAAAGTGGCACATGGCAGAGTGGGAGCAATGGGAGGCGGTACAGGGACCCATGTCACACTGTGGACCCAGCAGCAGCGTGACCAGGCGGTACGGAGGTCCATGGCAGATTACAGGCCTGGCAGCAGCAATGGGAGGCCCGTAATCTGTCAGCACCCTATGACAAAAAATGGAACACACCAGCAGTGTGTGAGGAGACCTGAAAGTGGCACATGGCAGAGTGTGGCGATGGAGACAGCAGCAATGGGAGGCTGTACAGGGACCCATGACAGACTCTGGACTTGGCAGCAGCATGAGGAGGCGGTATAGGGGCCCATGGCAGATTAGGGGCCTGGCAGCAGCTATGGGAGGCCCGTAATCTGCCAGCACCCTATGTCAAAAAATTCAACACACCAGCAGTGTGAGGAGACCTGAAAGTGGCACATGGCAGAGTGTGGCGATGGAGACAGCAGCAATGGGAGGCCGTACAGGGACCCATGACAGACTCTGGACTTGGCAGCAGCATGAGGAGGCGGTATAGGGGCCCATGGCAGATTAGGGGCCTGGCAGCAGCTATGGGAGGCCCGCAATCTGCCAGCACCCTATGACAAAAAATGGAACACACCACAGCAGTGTGAGGAGACCTGAAAGTGGCACATGTTTGGGGCATGATTCATGGCGCGATTTAGTCAGTTGTGTCAGGAACTGGTGGTTTGAAATCCAGACTAACACGCACCTGATTCATTTTCACAAACGTGAGTCTCTCTCACACTTTGGGTGGACAGTCGTGTCCTCCGCGGAGTTGCAATACCTCCTGCCGCACTAAACACGCGCTCCGATGCCACGCTACTGGCCGGGCATGACAGCCTTTCAAGGGCAAATTCATCTAGTTGGGGCCAAAGGTCAAGTTTCGTTGCCCAGTAGTCAAGGGGATTGTCTACCTCCGTTGGCAGGGTGCTGTCCAAGTAGGCCTAAGCCTGTTGTTTGAGGTCCTGCTCCAGGTCCACCTGATGCTGCTGCTGCTGCTGCTGCGTTATTAGTTTCCTCACTGCGCTGGTGAAGAAAGCTGCTCATCATCGACTGCAGACTGAGGCAGCTGCTGCTGGTGGAGCTGCCACTGCTCCTACCACCCCACCCCTCCCCTGCTGCCATGGCAGCGTAACGCGAGCGCACAGGGCCCACAGTGTCTGAGGATGGACGTTGGCGCAGACAGGCAGAGACCAGCTGACTACATAGGTGGTTTTTATAGTACGTTATTTTGGCCTCCCTCTCAGCAGGTGTAAAAAAGGCCACCATTTTGAATGGTAGCGAGGGTCCAACAAGGTGGACAGCCAAAAGTCATCCCTCTGTCTGATGGTTAATATTCGGCTGTCGGTACGCAAGCAAGCGAGCATGCTATGGGCCATTTGTGCCAAGGAATGCGAGGGACTCCCTGCCTCCATCTCCACAGCATACTGCCACGGTGCGTCTGGGTCCTCTGTCTCCTCTTCCTCCTCCTCTACCAGATGCTCCTGCTCCTCCACTCCTGTCCGCTGAGTGGAAAAACCACCCATTTCACTCAATAATTCCTGAGCACCAATGTCCTCCTCTACCTCCTCCTCTTCTTCCTGTCCTGCCCCCACATGGGTCATGTGGCGTTGAGATCTGTGCGCCACGTCTACCGCACCCTGACCAGCCATTATTAACAGCATTTGTTCCAGGACGTGCAACAGAGGAATGACGTCGTTCATCCCATAGTCCTGCCGACTCACGAATAGCATGGCCTCCTCAAAGGGCCTGAGCAAGCGCAGGTGTCACGCATGAGCTGCCAATGGCTGACATCTAAGTTACACAGGGAGTACCTTTATCCGCTTTTAACATCAGGAAATCTGTGATGGCCTTTTGCTGTTCGTAAAGGCGGTCTAACATATGTAGGGTTGAATTCCACCTTGTTGCAACGTCACAGCAGCAGAGGAGTCGGTACGGGGGCCCATGGCAGATTACGGCCTGGCAGCAGCAATGGGAGGCCCGTAATCTGCCAGCACCCTATGTCAAAAAATTCAACACACCAGCAGTGTGAGGAGACCTGAAAGTGGTGTGGCATGGAGACAGGCAATGTGCCGTACAGGGACCCCATGAGACCTGTGGACCTGGCAGCAGCATGAGGAGGCGGTACAGGGGCCCCATGGCAGATTAGGGGCCTGGCAGCAGCTATGGGAGGCCCGTAATCTGCCAGCACCCTATGTCAAAAAATTCAACACACCAGCAGTGTGAAGAGACCTGAATGTGGCACATGGCAGAGTGTGGCAATGGAGACAGCAGCAATGGGAGGAGGCCGTACAGGGAGACCCATGACAGACTCTGGACTTGGCAGCAGCATGAGGAGGCGGTATATAGGGGCCCATGGCAGATTAGGGGGCCTGGCAGCAGCTATGGGAGGCCCGTAATCTGCCAGCACCCTATGTCAAAAAATTGAACACAACAGCAGTGTGTGAGGAGACCTGAAAGTGGCACATGGCAGAGTGTGGCGATGGAGACAGCAGCAATGGGAGGCCGTACAGGGACCCATGAGAGACTCTGGACTTGGCAGCAGCATGAGGAGGCGGTATATAGGGGCCTATGGCAGATTAGGGGCCTGGCAGCAGCTATAGGAGGCCCGTAATCTGCCAGCACCCTATGTCAAAAAATTCAACACACCAGCAGTGTGTGTGAGGGAGACCTTAAAGTGGCACATGGCAGAGTGTGGCGATGGAGACAGCAGCAATGGGAGGCCCTACAGGGACCCATGACAGACTCTGGACCTGGCAGCAGCATGAGGAGGCGGTATATAGGGGCCCATGGCAGATTAGGGGCCTGGCAGCAGCTATGGGAGGCCCGTAATCTGCAAGCACCCTATGTCAAAAAATTCAACACACCAGCAGTGTGTGAGGAGACCTGAAAGTGGCACATGGCAGAGTGTGGCGATGGAGACAGCAGCAAATGGGAGAGGCCGTACAGGGACCCATGACAGACTCTGGACCTGGCAGCAGCATGAGGAGGCCGTATATAGGGGCCCATGGTAGATTAGGGGCCTGGCAGCAGCTATGGGAGGCCCGTAATCTGCCAGCACCTTATGTCAAAAAAATTCAACACACCAGCAGTGTGTGAGGAGACCTGAAAGTGGCACATGGCATGAGAGACTGTGGACCTGGCAGCAGCATGAGGAGGCGGTATATAGGGCCCCATGGCAGATTAGGGGCCTGGCAGCAGCTATGGGAGGCCCGTAATCTGCCAGCACCTTATGTCAAAAAATTCAACACACCAGCAGTGTGTGTGAGGAGACCTGAAAGTGGCACATGGCAGAGTGTGGCGATGGAGACAACCCCACCGACTGTTTTGCTCGCTGCCAAGCTGCCACCCTCTTCTCCTGATGATGCGGAAGCAATAGCCTGATGATGACGACGAGGCTGCCAAGTGCGATCAGCCTCATCATCATCAATTAGGGTCTCCGCCTCACTACTAGCCCCCTCGGCTGCGTGTGGGTCAGGAGACAGACCTGTCTCTACACCGGCTACCGAGCCACTCTCCTCGCCACTCTCGCCACTCTCTCGCCACTACTTCTTCGCCTGGCTGCTGAAGAGGTGGATGTCTCCCCCCGTTCCTGACCGCCCTCTGTTAGCTCTTCCTCACTGTACTGGATGACACCGGGAGCACTAGCCTCTGGCTGCGAATAGTGCTGCCTTGACCCCTTCCTCTGCTGCCACGTCTGCTCGCTCCTAAAACATTGCCTCCTCTGCCACTCCTCTGCATGTTGTCTGACATACTCTTTAATTAAACGATTCTGTGTCCCCTGAGTAACAATTCTGTGTCCCTGAGTAACGTTTCTGTGGCCCTAAGTAACAGTTCTGTGGCCCTAAGTAACAGTTCTGTGGCCCTCAGTAACAATTCTGTGTCCCTCAGTAACAATTCTGTGTCCCTCAGTAACAATTCTGTGTCCCTCAGTAACAATTCTGTGTCCCTGAGTAACAGTTCTGTGTCCCTGAGTAACAGTTCTGTGGCCCTAAGTAACAGTTCTGTGGCCCTCAGTAACAATTCTGTGTCTGTCCCTGAGTAACAATTCTGTGTCCCTCTGTAACAATTATGTGTCCCTCAGTAACAATTCTGTGTCCCTCAGTAACAATTCTGTGTCCCTGAGTAACAATTCTGTGTCTGTCCCTGAGTAAGAATTCTGTGTCTGTCCCTGAGTAACGTTTCTGTGGCCCTAAGTAACGGTTCTGTGGCCCTCAGTAACAATTCTGTGTCCCTGAGTAACAATTCTGTGTCTGTCCCTGAGTAACAATTCTGTGGCCCTAAGTAACGATTCTGTGTCCCTCAGTAACAGTTCTGTGTCCCTGAGTAACAATTCTGTGGCCCTAAGTAACGGTTCTGTGGCCCTCAGTAACAATTCTGTGTCCCTGAGTAACAATTCTGTGTCTGTCCCTGAGTAACAATTCTGTGGCCCTAAGTAACGGTTCTGTGGCCCTCAGTAACAATTCTGTGTCCCTCAGTAACAATTCTGTGGCCCTAAGTAACGGTTCTGTGGCCCTCAGTAACAATTCTGTGTCCCTGAGTAACAATTCTGTGGCCCTAAGTAACGGTTCTGTGGCCCTCAGTAACAATTCTGTGTCCCTGAGTAACAATTCTGTGTCTGTCCCTGAGGAACAATTCTGTGGCCCTAAGTAACGGTTCTGTGGCCCTCAGTAACAATTCTGTGTCCCTGAGTAACAATTCTGTGTCTGTCCCTGAGGAACAATTCTGTGGCCCTAAGTAACGGTTCTGTGGCCCTCAGTAACAATTCTGTGGCCCTGAGTAACGTTTCTGTGGCCCTCAGTAACAATTCTGTGTCTGTCCCTGAGTAACAATTCTGTGGCCCTAACTAACGTTTCTGTGGCCCTAAGTAACAATTCTCTGGCACTCAGTAACAATTCTGTCTGTCCCTGAGTAATGCTTCTCTGTCCCCTAAGTAACGTTTCTCTGCCCCCAAGTAACGTTTTTGTGGCCCTAACTCTGTCCCTAATACAGAGCGGTCTGCCTCTCTTGAATGACTGGAGGCAAATGAAGAATTCTAAAATGGCCGCTATTTATAGCTCGACCATTACACAGTGCTGGCTGCCTGGCTGCTGATTGGCTAATGCGATCACATGTCATTAAGGAATGCATTATGGGTCAGCGCGCCTTGTCTGCGCGCCTTCCCAGACATCCCCGCTCCGTCGCCGCACATGTCCACCGCCATTTTAGAAAAATTTCGATTCGCGCGTCCGAAGTAGGCTATTTTTTTCGGATTCGAAAATTTTCCAATATTCGACTCGAATTCCACTTCGCCTACTTCGATTCGCTCATCTCTATTTATGAACTCAGTACAGTTTTTATCATTTAGATTTCACAGGAATATGGTTGGGATTATGTCCATTAATAATGTTTTTTAGTGTATTTTTACCATAAATATAATTTGGATATTTTCTCTGGCGGTGGGGGGCTGTCAGGTATGCTGTACGGGGCCCCATGATATCTAACAGTGGCCCTGGGTGTATGCTTGTGTCTGTGCCACCTGTATAGTTAGGAAGAACCTTGAACGTCTGCTATGTACCTCAATGGATCTAGGAATTGGACATGTTTTCAACTGAAAATACAACAATTATTAGTAATGTTTCCCCAGCAAATGAGGATCAGCTCCTCGGTGGAGAACAGCGATCTCGCCATGTCCAGATGTGGTCTGGAATTCCACAAAAGAACAATTCACAAAACTAAAAAATAGACTTGCAAATCGTACCACTAAACTCTCCTAACTACACTCCCATCCACTCACACTCCCCACTTCCAGGTGTGTGCAAACATCCTTCCGCCAGCATCATGACGTATTTCCGGTATTACAGCTGCTCTAAGCGCCTCCTCCAACAGCCATCTTGGCAATTATTTGTGCACCATAGCAATTTTACATGCGGCTCCATTGTGTATATGACATTCGCAAATATATGTTTGCAGTTCTATTGTAGATTTGGCATTGGTGAATGTATGCTTGCAGCTATACTGTGTATATGACATTGGCAAATATATATTTGCCAGTAAAGGCCCAAAGTCAACATAAATTGGGGGCCCAATTTATTACTGTTAAGAGGATTGTAGAAAAAGAATAGCTAGCTGCACATTGAACACGACCTATTCATTGGTACATAACATGGTCTTGTGCTGCAATAGGGGGCTTTTGGTTTGTTATTTTGGACATACTTGCATATGTGCGCTCTAACATGGAAGATTTGGGCATTATATAGCTAGCAAAAATAAGTGTTGGGGGTGCTAGTGCATTTCAGATACTTATATAGCGCTGTCAATTTACGCAGTGCTTTACATGTAGATGTGGTAAATTCACATCAGTCCCTAACCCTCAAGGGGCGTACTAAGAGCCCTAACTTACATTCATACATATACTAGGGCCAATTTTGACAGGATCCAATTAACCTACCAGCATGTCTTTAGAGTGTGGGAGGAAACCGGATTACCCGGAGAAAACACAGGCAGAACATGCAAACTCCAGGCAGGAGGTACCGGGGCTGGGATTCGAACCAACGACCCTAGTACTGCCAGGTGGAAGTGCTAACCATTTAGCCACTGTGCAACATTCAACTAGAACATGAAATAATCCCCCCAAAAATACATAGTACAAATGTTTATTGATCAAATACACATTCCACATTTATTTGGACAGCAACAAAAAGCTACATTCAATATCTTGGTGTGAAAAAAAAAAACAAAAAACCACAACACAGGATTGATTTTGCTAAAATAGAATGGTCTTGCTCCTAAGAGCTTACAATCTAAAAGATTATACTTATAATGAACTGTGCTTTCACAGGTTACAGCAGGAAACAAACAGTTAAAATGAATCACTTGGGCTTATTCACAAAACAAGCTGCAGATCGAAATATCAATATAAAAAAATACATACGTGCCAAAATAAAAACACCTCCCACCTCCCCAAATCCCCCACACATACATTTCTCACCATGTTTGTCTGAAAATTGCATTTCATTCTAAATAAAGCAAACTTGGAAGAGCAGAGCAATGGACATGTGTTAGGATTACAATGCAAAGATAATAAACTAAATCATTGTACAATAACACACAAACACACCTTAGAAGGAAGAACATGCAAAACATTTACAGCCCACATCAAAACACAGCGTGAGTGTGGCCTGGGGGCAATTCACCACAATATCTCTTCCTCCCCAAACCACCACAGACAAGGACATGCAGAAATAATGTGCCTGTACAAGGCAAAAATCACCACTACTGGGTCTCTTTATATAAGGTAGGCCACACCCACCACTGTCATTCATTTGGTCAGAGAAAGCGTTTTCACCTGATTAATTCTCTTTCCCACCTGCGTTAACCCTTGGTATACAGGCCCCACAAATCAGAGTCAGAAAGAAAGCCACAGTGAAGTGTACCTATGCAGCATACAACAGAACATTGAACAGGGATGTGAAAGGGAACCCTATTGGCAATATTTCTTGGCCCTATGGGCACAATTCACTCCAGATTATCGCATGAGTTAAGGCAGTCACATGACCACATCTCGCATGCAATACTGAAAATGTCAATTCACTTTTGCTAGTATGCGGCTTTTCCCATAAATTGGAAAAACTCAGGAAATCAAACATAAAGAGGCCTTACACCGCGGTCACATCAATGCTGATTTAGAAATTGTGCGACGTACAGTGAAGATACTGATTTCCTTACGATTTGCAAGACATCTGGCACAGATATCTATGCAAATTGTCACAATAGTAGTACATGTACT